GGGGAATGTAAGGTCTTACATAGACGGATTCGTATCCAATTTTTATTTTTTCGGGCAGTTTGTGTGATTCGAACGTAATTATGATGAGCCCAGTTTCTACGAGAGTGTCTTCTAAGCTTATGTTACTTGCTTGCCTTTTTAAGATTTTACGTACTTCAGTTACTTTTTGTGGTTTCAGTTCTTGTTGGATTATATTTTCACTTATGTTGCGTAGATCATTACTGTATATAACGCCTTTAGAAAAGTTTAATGTTTTATGTTCTGTTGCTGTAATATTTTGGTGAGTTTGAGTAGTTTTAAAGCTTGCAAATTGTTTTTGGTTTTAATTAGTAGGCAGCCGTCTCTTCTTTTTGTTGCATGTCTCCACTTCTCCTCCGCAAGCATAGTCAATAGTTTTTTTATGATGAACGGTGAAACTTTTTCGAACGATTCATTGTCGTTTCGCTTTAGAACAATGTATTTTGGTTCGCTTAGATGTGTGTTTTTATACCCTGAACCCATTGAAAATGGGAAATCAGGGTATAATGGTTTTGTTAAAAGTATATAACAGACAGAAGGAGGCGTGGCAGACCCCACAAAGTATATATATTTTTGATCAGGGCGACGAGCTAAGTCGATTTGGCCCTGTCCGTCTGCCTGTCCGTCCGTCCGTCCGTCCGTATGTATGAACGCGTCGATTTCAGAAGATATAAGAGCTAAAGACTTGAAACTTTTTTTTTTCCTAGGTCCGTGTATATCACGCGCATATCAAGTTTTTCTTTTTATATCGATAACTACTCCCGATAATTTATTATCGATCAAAAACCTTATCGAAAGCTAGTTATTTAATTATATCTCCTACACCTTTAGAGCTAGAGCTTCCAAATTTTATATGTAGACTTATATGCATTTTATATAATTTCGATTTTTGTTTTAATTTACCTCCCACCCCTATATCCACCCCCTCACCATCACCTTTTTAAAAGGCGTATTTCAAGTACTAGAGACTTGTGCTTTAGAATGTACATACATTTGAATATTATGATTATGTTCTGAAAGTTTCATTAAGATTGTACATATAGAAATTAAAATATTCAACAAATAAATGCTTATAATGTTGCCCACACTGCAGCGCAGCACAAGCGCAGTCGCTGCTTACTGCGCAGTTAGCAGAGCGCGCTCTAATACGTGGATGTGTATGTACGTGTGCCGAAAAGAAGTGCAGAGCGATTAGAATATCAGATTAGAGGGTTCAGGGTATCTCCTAGTCGAGCAGTCTCGACTAGAGTCTTCTTACTTGTTGTATTTGCTTATGTCCGGTGGCTCGTGCATATTAGTTGTTTTTGGGCGCAAGCCCGATGTAACTGTTTGTGGTGTGTGTTTGTTTTTATACCCTGAACCCATTTTCAATGGGAAATCAGGGTATAATGGTTTTGTTGAAATGTATGTAACAGGCAGAAGGAGGCGTGGCAGACCCCACAAAGTATATATATTCTTGATCAGGGCGACGAGCTGAGTTGATTAGGCCCTGTCCGTCTGTCTGTCCGTCTGTCCGTCTGTCCGTCCGTCCGTCTGTCGGTCTGTCCGTATGTATGAACGCGTCGATTTCAGAAGATATAAGAGCTAGAGACTTCAAATTTTTTTTAAATGTTCGTAATTACAGCGCGCATATCAAGTTTATCATTAAAAATCGATAACTCATCCCGATCTTTTTTTATCGATAAAAAACCTTATCGAAAACCAGTTATAAAATTATATCTTCTACACCTTTATTGCTAGAGTCTCAAAATTTTTTAGGTATGCCTATATGCAATTTATACAATTTCGGTTTTTGTTAAAATTTACCCCCCACCCTTAAATTCACCCCCTCACCCTCACTTTTGTAAAAAGCTTATTTCAAATACTAGAGACTTGTGCTTTGGCAATTATATGCATATCCATGTCATAATCATAATCTGAAAGTTTCATAAAGATCGTACGTCCACAATAAAGTTATTAAGCAATTAAGTTCTCATAGTAAGCGCTCACTGCCGCCCATGCGTGTTTATGCGTGGTTGCTTGTGTGTGTATGTGTGTGTGTATATGTGTGTGTGTATGCGTTTGTGTATGTATGCGTGTGTGTGTTTATGTGTGTCTGTATGCGTGTGTGTGTATGTATGCCTGTGTGTGCGTACGTGCGTGTGTGTGTGTGTGTGCGTATTTCTTGTGTAAGCTGAAAGTCGCGAAAAAGTATTGAAATATCTATTGCTCCAAGGGTTCAGGGGATCTCGTAGTCGAGCAGTCTCGACTAGAGCTTTCTTACTTGTTTTGTTTTGTTTTGTTTGCTTCGCGGTTTAATTTTTGCTTGTCGCGCGTTTGCTGATAAGCTTTTGCTGTTGCGTTGGTGTAGCGAGGTTTCAATGCAGCATGTCTTATCTCCAGAGATGTCGAAGTGATACTGCGATCTCTTTTAGATATTTAGGGATATTATATTGTGATAGCGCATCCAGTATCATATCCCAACTAGCTGTGCTAAAGGCATTCTTAACGTCGAGTTTCGCAATAATGCAGTTGTCTGAGTTTTGTGTTCAATCTACAATCAACAATCTACATAACTCATCCTAAACAAATTAAGATAGTAGGTAGAATGGTTATCTGCAGTACCAGAACAATTAGCAAATAACCCATCATTATCGCTAGGTATAAGTATTGGGTTATCTGTTATAAGATAGCCTTTTCTGACCGTAATAAAACCTTTTATATATTTATTTAAGTTTATTGAATAAGTAAAATTCCATAATCACTATCTTGTATTGATACCTACCACCTAAAAATAGTATATAAGGCCATTACGTTCATAAAATAAATTAGTAAGAAAATAGCACTTGAAAATAGAGCAACGAGTCTCGTCTTTCACTATTTGATACTCATCTCCGTTGTCCAACTGGTTCAAGTACTTGTTGCGACGCCCGTAGTCACTGGTTCTGTACTAGAGGCTCACAATTAAACACAAATACAACTACCTAGTCTTGGTTTTGTACCAAGGTCTAATAGATACTCAACATTTTGGTGACCCCGACGTGAAGGAAGACGAATTTTTAGAAATCATAGCGTTCATTTGGCGAACCCTATTTCTAAATCACCCGGTAGACGTGGTCAACTTAACGACCAACATCTTCATAACCAAACAAAATACAGTGGATTCATTTGGCGAATCCTATATCTTCGAATTGATCAACAAGTGGTCAAACTAAGCGCTGAATCGGCCTCAACTCAATCAACCAGACTCACCAGGATTGTCATCTTGGCGACAAGTCAGCATAGGCATCAGCACTACTGCATCATTCTGATTAATCAAACATCAGACAACAAGAATTAAGAAAAACAAGTAAGAAAGCTCTAGTCGAGACTACTCGACTACGAGATCCCCTGAACCCTTGGAGTAATAGCTACTTCAATAATTTTTCGCGTCTTTCAGCTTACACAAGAAACACGCACACACACACACACACACACACGCACGCACGCACGCACACACAGGCATACATACACATACACACACATACATACACACATACACACACACACACACACACACACACAATTACATACATATACACACACAAGCATAAACACGCATGGGCGGCAGTGAGCGCTTACTATGAGAACTTAATTGCTTAATAACTTTTTTGTGGACGTACGATCTTCATGAAACTTTCAGATTATGATTATGACATGGATATGCATGTAATTGCCAAAGCACAAGTCTCTAGTATTTGAAATACGCTTTTTACAAAAGTGAGGGTGAGGGGGTGAATTTAAGGGTGGGGGGTAAATTTTAACAAAAACCGAAATTGTATAAATTGCATATAAGCATACATTAAAAATTTGGAGACTCTAGCAATAAAGGTGTCGAAGATATAATTTTATAACTGGTTTTCGATAAGGTTTTTTATCGATAAAAAAAAAGATCGGGATGAGTTATCGATTTTTATACCCTGAACCCATTGAAAATGGGAAATCAGGGTATAATGGTTTTGTTAAAAGTATGTAAAAGGCAGAAGGAGGCGTGGCAGACCCCACAAAGTATATATATTCTTGATCAGGGCGACGAGCTAAGTCGATTTGGCCCTGTCCGTCTGTCTGTCCGTCCGTCCGTATGTATGAACGCGTCGATTTCAGAAGATATAAGAGCTAGAGACTTGAAATTTTTTTCCTAGGTCCGTGTATATCACGCGCATATCAAGTTTTTCTTTAAATATCGATAACTACTCCCGATATTTTATTATCGATCAAAAACCTTATCGAATGCTAGTTATTTAATTATATCTCCTACACCTTTAGAGCTAGAGCTTCCAAATTTTAAATGTAGACTTATATATATTTTATATATTTTCGATTTTTGTTGTAATTTTCCCCCCACTCTTATATCCACCCCCTCACCATCACCTTTGTAAAAGACGTATTTCATGTACTAGAGACTTGTGCTTTGGAATGTACATACATTTAAACATTATGATTATGTTCTGAAAGTTTCATTAAGATTGTACGTCTAGAAATTAAATTATTCAACAAAGAAATTCTTATAATGTTGCCCACACTACAGCGCAGCCCAAGCGCAGTCGCTGCTTACTGCGCAGTTAGCAGAGCGCGTTCTAATACGTGCGTGTGTATGTATGTGTGCCGAAAAGAAGTGCAGAGTGAATATCAGATTAGAGGGTTTAGGGTATCTCCTAGTCGAGCAGTCTCGACTAGAGTCCTCTTACTTGTTAATGATAAACTTGATATGCGCGCTGTAATTACGAACATTTAAAAAAATTTGAAGTCTCTAGCTCTTATATCTTCTGAAATCGACGCGTTCATACATACGGACGGACGGACAGACAGACGGACAGGGCCAAATCGACTTAGCTCGTCGCCCTGATCAAGAATATATATACTTTGTGGGGTCTGCCACGCCTCCTTCTGCCTGTTACATACATTTCAACAAAACCATTATACCCTGATTTCCCATTGAAAATGGGTTCAGGGTATAAAGAAACGAATTTATAAAAAATAAAACAAATTAATTAAAAATGGAGAGTTTAATTAATAACCAAACCACGCTTGGTGAGGAGATCCAAGCTCTAATTAGGAACTATAAAAAGGATCCTCAGGAACGGAAGTCAAATGCAACATACTTCCATAATAAGGCTGCTCAGTTAAATCAGCTTTGGAGTGCCTTCGATCAAGGAAATGAGAAAATAAGGAATCTAATGGCGGAAAATCCTGTGGAGAATCCTTATGTAAGGGAAGGTTACTTCTCAAAGATCAAGGACATCGTAATTAAATATCAGGGGGAATTTTCCACAAAATTGAACGAGCTAAGCCCTCCAGATACAGCACGCTCGGACTTGATACCTCTCCAAAGGCATCAAACCGCGTTACTAGCAGCGCTACAAAGACTGATTGGTCAGATAACACAAGAGTCACAGGCCCGATTCAGGCCCCTTGTAACAGAATATTGGGAAAAAATAAACCATATTCACTTCGAGATCTTCAGACTGTTCGAAGATCCAATAGCTCTTGGATACAACATGGAAAATTATTTGAATGCAGAAGCAGCCATATTCCAAATTCAATCCACGCCTATTGATGTGAAGCCATCAATTAATGCTGCAGCCGCCCAAACGCAAGTACAGCTACCAAAGGTATCCATACCACAATTCGACGGATGCTATTTAAAATGGCAACAATTTCATGATCTATTCACAAAAATGATTCATGAGTCAACATTGCCAACAGTACAAAAAATGTGGTACTTAAAATCAAACCTCTCTGGAGATGCTGAAAGACTGGTTAGACACTTGGATCTAACAGAGTCCAACTATGAAACTGCCTGGACGATGCTGAAGGAGCGTTTTGACAACAAGCGAGTCCTGACTACAACGACTCTACACAAACTTTTGGATCAACCGTCAGTGACAAACGATGCATCATCAATAAAAGGTTTCCACGATATTATTCAAGAAACGTTAGCTACGTTGAGAAACGGCGGCATAGAAGTCAACAATTGGGATCCACTTTTGCTAGTGCTACTGGCAAGAAAATTGGACAGGACTACTCATGTACTGTATGAGCAATCCTTTAAAGACACAAGAAAGCTACAACCCATCAAGGAATTCTTAGCCTTCTTAGAACAAAGATTCTTGGCACTGGAAGCGATAGGAGGGAAACAATACGTCCCTAAAGAAAAGCAAAGGATATGCGCGTCTGCCTCAACAGAAAAGAATAAAGGCTGTCAATTCTGTGATTCAGCAGAACATAAAATTTATCGATGTGACAAGTTCGCGTCAAAATCTGGAGACGCACGTTTAAAATGGGCACTAAACCAAAAACTGTGCCTAAACTGTCTGCGGCCCAATCATATGGCAAAATCATGTTTCCTACGCAATTGCATGAAGTGCAACAAAAAACATAATACGTTGCTACATCTGGAGAACAAAGATGACGTCAAAATAACTGCCGCAGCACACAATAAATAATTATGTGCTACTCGCCACTGCTCGAGTCGAAGTGCATGGAAGCAACGGCCAATATGGAAGTTTCAGAGCACTCCTGGATTCAGGCTCTCAGATAAACATGATCTCTGAAAGAGCTGTAAAAACATTATCACTTGCAGTCAAAAACTTAACCATGCGAATCGAAGGCATTGGAGGAAACCCAAGTTCAATGAAATCCAGGGTCAATGTCCTCATAAAATCTCAAAATGGAAGTTACACGACACGAGTAGAGGCGTTCGTGTTACCACATATTGTGGCGGATCAACCAAACCACAAAATAGACAACATATCTTGGGTACCAAGCAACATACCATTGGCGGACCCAACCTTTGCGAAACCTGGAAAGATTGACTTACTACTCGGAGCCGAACATTATTTCGAGCTCATACTACCGGAGCAAATCAAAAGGAGCCCAAAATTACCTGTGATGCAAAACTCTAAACTAGGCTGGATAATAGCTGGAAGAGTTAACAGATCAACTTCGACAGTCGCCACATGCTCGGTAGCAACTACAACTGATGACTCAACTACTCTATTGGAACGATTTTGGAAACTAAATAATCTGGAATCAACACAGCCCTATCGGACACCAGCAGAGTCACATTGTGAAACACATTTTAAAGAGAATATACAAAGGGCAGTTGACGGAAAATTGATAGTAAAATTACCTTTTTCTGAAGATGTGTCAGAACTGGGAGAGTCTCGGGAGCTAGCTATAAGGCGTTTCTTAGCATTGGAAAAGAGACTGTGCCGTGATCCAGACCTACAAGGCAACTACGTGGAATTCATGAAGGATTACGAAAAACTCGGCTACATGAAGGAAGTAACACCGCAGATGGTTCAGAAATCACATTATTTCATTCCGCATCACTGTGTGTTAAAACCAGATAGCAGTACCACAAAACTACGAGTTGTGTTTGACGCTTCTGCTAAATCATCGTCAGGCAAGGCCCTAAATGATATACTGTACGCTGGGCCTACGGTACAAAGTGAATTATTTTCAATTCTACTGCGTTTTAGAACTCATAAATATGTTTTTACCGCTGACATTGAAAAGATGTATCGTCAAATATGGATGAATCCGGCAGATCAGTTTCATCAGATGATTGTCTGGAGAAACTCACCTCAGGAACAGCTTAAGTACTACCGACTAAAAACTGTCACATACGGCACAACATCAGCCCCATTTTTAGCGACAAAATGTTTGCAGAGGCAGTAGAATATGACTTTTATGTTGATGACTGCTTAACGGGAGCAGACTCAATAACGGAAGCCATAAGACTTCGAGATGAAATCAACAAAATACTTCTACCAGCAGGATTAAGGCTTCGAAAATGGTGTGCTAACCATGACCAGATTCTCGCGAGAATTTCTAAGGAAGATACAACACAAATGGTGAAATTGGATAATACGGAAGACAACAGTATTAAGACATTGGGCCTTACATGGAGTCCAAAGTCTGACAGCCTGCATGGACGAGCTGAAGCGGCAAAGGCAACGAGAATCACAAAAAGAACGGTATGCTCTGAATTGGCAAAAATATTTGACCCTCTCGGAATCTTTGCCCCAGTTGTGGTAAGGGCAAAAATATTCATGCAACAACTATGGGAATCAAAAATTGGATGGGACGAGGAGTTATCGCCAAGCCTTCAGCAAGATTGGAAAATATACCGAGACGATCTACAAAGTCTTAACAAGCTCAAGATCCCTCGACACATGTTTGACGGAAAAATTCCAGTAGCACGGGAAATACATACCTTCGTTGATGCCTCGGAAAAAGCATATGGAGCTGCAACGTACATTCGGGCGACATACAAAGACAATGGAATAACTGTACGCTTGTTATGTGCGAAATCTAAGGTAGCACCATTATCAAGGCAATCACTGCCTCGTCTGGAACTCTGTGCAGCACTATTAGGAGCGGAACTTACTGCTCGAGTACGAAAGGACCTTAATATGAAGAGCAGCGGCAATCCAGCATATTTATGGACAGACTCAAGAATTGTACTATCATGGATAAATCCACAATCATCCAGTTTGGAAACCTTTGTCGCAAATAGAGTTGCAAAAATCCAGGAATTGACTATAGCAACTCAGTGGCGTCATGTCTCCTCACAATACAACGCTGCAGATATACTGTCACGAGGAACATTAGCGAAGAATCTGGATTCAACGACCTTGTGGCTACACGGGCCATTATTCCTTCATGGATCACCATCAAAATGGCCAGAGCCGTTCGTCAAAATTCCCAGCGCTAACGACACATTGGGACGAAAGGGAAACCCAAGGGCTGTAGCAGCTCCTGTCGCAAAAACATGTGATGTAATCTATTCCATCAATCACTATAATTCCTTCCGAAGACTACAACGCATTATAGCATATATAATGCGGCTACGACACCCAAACAAAAATGGTAATACACTCACACATGAGGAGTTGGAACGTGCCAGGATTGTTATATTACGTAAGATTCAACAGGTAGACTTCCCTGAGGAGTTGACGAACCTCACAAAACATGGCGTAGTAGACAGCAAAAGCAACCTCAAATCTATGACACCGTTTCTAGACAAGGATAACATCATACGAGTGGGCGGTAGGATCGAAAAATCAGCTCTATCATTTGATGAAAAACATCCTATATTGTTACCATACAATGACCCAATTGTCAAATCACTGTTACGAGAACTCCACATAGACAACATGCACTGTGGACCACAAGCACTACTTGCAAGGTCAAGGCAAAATTACGGGATACTTAAAGGGAAAACATTAGCACGGAACATTACTCAAAACTGCGTCCGATGTACTCGAGCAAAACCAAAGATGTTTCAACAATTAATGGGCAATCTACCGGAACTACGCGTCAGAGACCATTTAAAAATGCTGGGGTCGATTACTGTGGCCCATTCTGGATTCATCATAAAGTGCGAGGAAAGCGCCCAGACAAGGCTTACATCGCGATATTCTGTTGTTTTGCGACTAAGGCCATCCATATGGAAACAGTAAGTGATTTAACCACTGACAAATTCATTGCGGCCTTAAAACGATATATGGGACGCCGTGGAAATCAGTGTTGCCGAAACTTTTTCAGCAAAAGTAGCAAAACCGAAGGTTGAAAGTAGCTAGAAGTAGCCAACTTTCTTCTAAAATAGCTGAAAAAGTAGCAAAAAAGAAAACAGTGCTGTTTTTTCAAAAAAAGTCAACTTTATTAATTTAATTCTGATAATATCTCATCTATGACCACCAGCTCGTCATTTTCACCATTGTCGCTTTTATAATTTTCCTTTTCAAGGTAGTTGGGTGGAACGCTATACTCATAGCAACATTTGCCATATCGGCGTAATCCATATGTTTTGTGGACATACAATCTTAATGAAACTTTCAAAACGTGATCATATGGCTAAAATGTGTGTACATTCCAAAGCACAAGTCTCTAGTACTTGAAATGCGTTTTTTACAAAATGATGGCGTCAATGGGTCAGGGTATAAAAACTGATAAGAAATGAATTTTGCATAGCATATTAGAAAGCTTACCTATTCTTCAGTTGTAGTATTAATTCTACACAAAGCTCAGTACATTTAAATCATTTACATTTAAAAAGTATCGAAGCGAATTTTGTTATAAGTTCGCTTGCATTTTAGCTAAATTTAATATTTGAAAATAGCCAGATTTGTAGCTAATAGCTGTTTGAAAATTTTTGTAGCAATTGGCCTTAAAAAGTAGCCAGATCTAGCTACAAAATAGCTGATTCGGCAACACTGGTGGAAATTGCCAAACACTACACTGCGACAATGCTACAAACTTTGTGGGCGCCAACAACAAATTGAAAGAGCTAGAAGACGCAATCTACAGCGACAAGGCAAAAGACAGGATATTAGCTGAATGCCACAAAACAAATGTAAAATTCCATTTTATTCCTCCCCGAGCACCACACTTTGGTGGGCTCTGGGAAGCAGCAGTTAAGTCAGCAAAACACTTACTATTGAAAAATGTATCGACCGCCTCATTAACGTATGATGAACTTGAAACCGTTGTCATTGAGATAGAGGCAATACTTAACTCTCGGCCAATAACTCCTATGTCAACCGATCCAAATGATCTTGCTGCACTAACACCTGGACACTTTCTGATTGAAGAACCGCTAACAGCACAAGCCCATGACGCAGAAAGGGAAGACGGAAGGTCGCTTGGACAAAGATTAGAGTTAATTCAACATCTGAAGCATACGTTCTGGACTCGATGGTCACAGGAATACCTCCACGAACTTCAGCAACGTACAAAATGGACGAGATCAACGGCAAACGTATCAGAAGGAATGTTGGTACTCATCAAAGAGGACAATGTACCATGTCGACAATGGCCTATGGGAAGAATTCAAAGAGTATACACCGTCCCCGACAACCATATACGAGTGGTCGATGTGAAGACAGCACATGGCACCTTCAAGCGACCTATACACAAATTGGCGCCACTACTAGCCATCGATGAGCCACAACACAAACATCCACTCGAAGACATATCACAAAATGATCCCTCGGCTAACCAAAAGGCGAAACGGCTCAGAACACCCTGGACGCCCTCCCTTACAACAATGCTGCTTACCATCATATTGTTTCTACCACTCATATTGACGCAATCTATCAACATTACATATTTTGAATCTAAGCCTGGTATCTACTACGAACGAATCGGATCAGCTCGACTGGCAGTTGCAGATTGGACCATCATTGCTTATTACGATCTGGAACCATATTGGAATGAAATGAAAACATTCTCTAAAGGGACCAACAGCATAAAGAAATTATGTGCCGACCTAAGTATCACAGTTCCATGCCAGAGCGTGTATCAGCATTTCAAGCATGTGGAGACCGAATTATTAGCTGAAAATGAGCTTCTACAACAAGCAAGACCTAAAAGAGCGCCACTGGATATAATTGGAAACATAGCGAGCAGTTTATTCGGGGTTTTGGATTCAACATATGCAAAGGAAATGTCCGAAACGA